ACCCTCATCAGCGAGAGTTCCCTTCAAAAGTAAAAGGCCCCGCTCATTCGTACCCCCAACCTGCGGCCTTGTATGGCTGTAGTTTCCCAGGAGCACGTAAACGCTTTCCCCAAGTACAAGTGTCGTTGGTCGCGTTATGCCGTTTCTGGCGCCGATACCCTCAGACCCTTCCTTTAGAAGATCTGCGCCAAAGATACTCGCATCTGCCGTCAAGATCTCCGTTGGATCAGCAACACCACTTAAATCAAGGTACTTTGACGCAATCCCAGTAAAGCTGACGTCGCTGCATTCGCCTCCATCCCTGCAATGGACTTCAGCAATAGCAAATACATGACCCTGCAGATCAACGAGACTGGGACCACGAAGCGAGCCATATTTACCACCAGCGCCAGAAACATCCTCCCAGTTGTCAAGCTTTTCCCATCCAATCCCCCTCAACGCATCAACTGCCTTCTTTACATTACCCCCCAGCAGAAGCAGCTCCACCAATCCCACAGCACGTCATCACGAAAAGAAGAAGCAGCACCGCGGAAGTAAACACACGCCGCGACATGTTGGGCCTCTGCGGCTCACTCTCTCTTCCTTCCCTCCTCCTTCCGCTGGATCCGCTCACGCAGCGACGGTTGTGTGTGCGGGGTGCCTTCACTGCAGCAACACGTGAGAGCATGTAAATATGTGTGGGTCAACCGTGTGTGCTGCTGTTGGTCCTTTCAGCGCCTTCAAATCTCACGGTAGCGATTAGCGTTTATTTTCCTTCTTGGAGAAGAGCAACAGGCAACAGCGGAAGAAAGGCAGTACAACAACGGTACACACCGCCACCACTCACAGCAAACCACAACATCAGCGCCCCCGCAGCCATTATTCTCCCCAGCACCTCTCAACAGCATAAAAAAAAAAAAAAGCATGTGAACGACCTCTCAATGGGGACCGCAGGCCATGGCCCTGCAAATAAGCCAAGCGACAGGGAGCCACGTGTGCAGTGAGGAGCACGAGAGTTGCACTGCAACGACACGGCGGCGTGACAACCCGTGGGGAGCATCGATGCAGACCAGCATGTCACGTGCAGGAAGAGTTGCTCCTCCCGCTGAGTAGAGAGGAAAAACGGCCTTAGCAGCCTAATGATGAGAGGTCGCCTGCACCTCCTCGCAGCACCTACACGCTCTGCAGGCAAAAAGATGCCGATGACGCTCTGCTGCACGCATGACGGCCGTCTCATCCTTCACAATGTCAACCGCATCCTGTGGCACCACACGCCGCAGTCGATGCGCACAGTCTCCGTCCTCCCTCCCTCATTTCCCTCTCCCTGAGAACTCATCGGTGGACGTGGCACACTCACAGACGCGTCAGAAATCACTTGTTTTTCTTCTTCCCTCGCACATCGAACAGCAGCTCCGCCAAACGAAGGTCACCCCTCCCTTCGCAGATTCCCCTCAGACACGCCTCCCGCCACATTCATCAATCCACAGGCGCACAGTCCGTAAACGTCACGCAGCCGTCCCGCACGATGGAGCCGCACACACCAACATGGCACCACGCCACTCGGCGCAAGCAGTGTCTGGACACACAAAACAGGTTGCCCCAGCAAACGACAGCCCCCTCCAAGCAGTGAGGCAGGACTCGTCAGTAACAATCAAACAACCAGCCCTTAGTCTCCTCCTGCCGCCATGCACGAGGTTCTGCCTGCCACATGCATCATCCGTGACGCCCGGTCTCTCAATGAGTAAACAAGGCAGTATGCTCCCCTCGGCTCAACGAGAAGCCCATTGACAATTCCCAGCCAGTCGTCTCCATGGGCCATGCATGAGGAGCACCACGGCAAGAATGCACAGAAGGTTGCATGCAAAACGCCAACTCATTCCACGTCAATAAAAAGTATGGCACCAGACATGGGCTTTGCAAGAATTTTGGCTAGCGCTTCCCTGAGAGGCCTCCCATACACATCGCACGTGATCAGAGTAAAGAAAAAGTAACGCCTCCAATCCGACTGTCATTCGGCGGTACCGATCAAAGCTCAACTAAAAAAATGCCGCAAATCGTCACATATTCCACACAGACCATCAAAAGATTATGCAGCAAATGCACAGCACGGAAGAAGAGCCATGCCCACAAACACGCAAAACACAGAAACAGTAAGAGAGTTGGGAAAAGCAGCAACCAAAGCCATTCTTTGTGGATGCAAATGATAATGGCACCAAACAACGCGAAGCACCAGTCGGGCACCACATGTGGGCCACAGACACACCCACCCACCCATTCACTCTTCCTCCTCCCAATGGTGTGGCCCTCCTTCACCTCCACGAGCACGCCTGTCCCTCAGTTATGTGTGCCTCCAACGCAAGCACTCAAGGTGCGTTTCGGTAATCCAAAATTCAATACCTATGAAAAACAGAGGAAATGCTCGCAGAGGCCACACGGCTCCTCAACGCACCTTCAGGCCCTCCTCACGACTCTTCAATGCGATGGAGAGGAGTACAGGCGGCTCTCGTGTCACAGAGGACGGCCAATGGGAGCGGTTTTCACAGCGCAGAAAATGCCAAGATGTGAAACAGAAGAGGCTGTGGGAGAAGGGAGGCTCGCAAAGTCCGTCACCTGCCATGCCTGATGTGCGTCGTCTCATTCGTGCAACGGAGAAGTAATGGCACTGTTGTTGCGGTGCCTGCCCGTGCGTGCACCTCACACTCGTGCCAATGAACGCCTCAAGGAACATCCTGCAGAGGGCAAGCAGCTGGCCGTGCAAACAATCCCGAGTCTCGCCAACGTTCCAGCAGCTGCTCTTTTGGCGAGACGTCGCTCTCTTTCTTCCTTGTCTCCCGTGTGCCATCCTCGTATGAAATGAAAATGCCTTCCACGTCTGGTGTCATCAAGCACCTCCAAATAAATTGGGAAGAATTCACGGCCTCGAGAAAAAGCATCCAAAGTGGCAGTCAACGTGAACTCAGCAACGCATGCCATCTTCTGCAGCCGCGTGCATTGCAACCCCCCTCAGCCGCCCAGTTTTTCTTCCTTCCTTGTAGACCCAAACCGCATGGTACACTTGGATTTGCTCGAATCACCCACAGGCTCATGTAACGGTGTCCGCCCCGCCCGTGCAGCTCGTGACTGCATCACTTCCCCGTCCACTTCTGCGGCACCGAATAGCGTGAAATAAGAATCCCTAACACCGTATCTACAAGGCAAGCACACATGCATCGCTCCAACGGGTGCCACTGAGAGAAATCACACGACAGCACACTATCTCTCGCCCTCCCATCAGCGATTGGCCGTCAACAACAACAACGGCATTGAGAAGCAGCCTCGGGGCAATCCCTGAGCGCCATCCCCACCTCGGCGAGAGACCCACTCCGGGAACCCGGCACTCCAGTGCCGTTCCGGGAAGAACTCCTGCCACCGCCAACCGTGTTTCCCTGTCGCGTTGACACACGGACCCCGCTTCAGAGAAACAACAACACGCTCCATTCAAAACGTGGCTATGAGAGTGCAGGCAACAGGCGCAGGGCGCACCCTCTCATTGTCCATTCTCAATAAAGAGAGCATGGGCGCCAATTTGCCGCAGCACTCACAAATGTGCTTCTTTTGTTTCCCGTGTGTTTTCCCAAATAAATCGTAATGCCCGCACCGCGGTAGCACGTGCCCCCAGACCTCAAAGTGCTGCAATTTGCTTTGGCACGACGCGACTGGTCCGGACGCTTGTAGATGCCGTCTGCCCTGCGCCAACAAAAACAACGATCCCGTGAGGGAAACATTGCTGGCCCCTAAATTCCCCCGACAATACGGAGCAATTGGCCCTGGCGCCGCGGTGAGGCAGTCAAGCATGAAATCGCAAGGGGAAGCAACGATGACGCAGGCACAAGGAAGCCATTCCACCCTCAATTGAATACGGTGCCCCACTCCAAGCAGTCACACGGAGTGCACTGTTTTCACAAGAGAAATTGGTCGTCTTCCATCCCTTAAAGATGCTTCGTTTAATGATGGGCCTTGGAACAAAAAAAATAAGAGGAAATAAACAACGTAGTCATACTTCATCACCGCTGGTCATAATCATTCTCTCATAAAAGAGCAATTTCCCCACTATGCCTCGTATGCACACACAGAAATCCACATGTATGAAACAACCCGCAATGTTTTTCTACCAGAAACCAAACTACCCCGTTCCCCCCATAATTTCTTCTTCGTTCACTGTTACGATCGCTCGCGTTGGACATTTTCCGCATCCGTGTGTGATGCTGCCGCCTGATGCCGGTACATCTGCACTGTATGCACACACAGGCATCCAACCACATGAAAAAAGCCCCAATATTTGTTACCAGAACTCAAAATACCCCCGCAATTCCCTAATTTGTTTTCCTATTTATTCCGTTGATTACTCCTCAATTCTAATGCCTTCTTGGGGCGTCTTCGGATGATATTGGCACTTGGTACTGGCGTACCTTTTCGTTCCAAAACGCCGCAATTTCATTGTTGTCCGCGCCGCTCACGTTATTGGAATCGACGACATCACATCTCCGCCAGTCATTCATCGGCGTGCTGTCTGCGTGCTGCACATAAATCATCTCCCACGACATGTCTCGGGATAACTCCTCCCAACCATTAAAATATTCCGCCAGATGCTCAGTGAACTGCCTCACAGTGCTGGCTGTGGTGTGATGCCCACCCGCCGCAGCCATCCGCAGCCCAACCAGCGTCATTGGATTTGATTTCACAAAGAAAAAGCCGTCCAACAGCGGAAAGTTTTCCACCTCCGTTACGTACAGCACCCCGCACTCCACATCAATCCTCTCAGAAACGTGTTCCAGTGGCGGTAAGACATGGTGCCTGGTGGAGCGCTCCTGTGAGTACACCGCCAGCGCACAGCGGTGGGACTGACGTTGTGGTGATGGCCTCAGCTCCCTCAGCCTGCGTTCTATTGTGCTCACAAAAGATCCATTCAAAAATGCAAACACGGTGCACCTTCCAAAATTTTCTGATATGAGATAATCCTTCAGCCCCGATATGAGTAAATTAAAATCATGCTGCTGCATTAACTTCGCCGACTTGAATAATGTTTTATTTCCGAGGTGAGCAGACACCGGTAAATTGAAAAAAAATTCAGAACCAAACTCTCCACCTCGTACTCGGACAACCCTCGCAAGCCAGTAGAGCACCTTCATACGATCCCAGGATCCACCACATCCCAAACCACTGTATTGCAAGATTACAGAAGAGGTCGCCTCATCGACGGTCTTGTGACACCGTTGAACCCAATTATGATACTTTCGCTCGTCAAAGACATAACGTGGAATAGGTCCCACTTCATCCATTTGGCCCTTCACCACATGCCAGTACTCCGCCTGCTCCCGCACGGGCTGATGGCGCCTCATCCAAACGCACATCGCCTTCACATCGCTTTCACCAGGGCAATTCATAACTATTTCTGTGGCACCGCTCCGCTTCACCCATTCTTTGTAGTTCCTCTCGAGTGGGGGTGACACCAAAACCATGCCCCATCCCCTGGGAGCCAAATTACCAGACGGTTCATCATCCGGCTCTGCCACATCGTAAATAATATACCCCTTCATCCCACGGTCAGACAGACTCCTCACAACAGACGCATTACTGGATTCGCTCATGTATGTCGACACCGTCCTGCTGGTCTTGTCAAACAGGAATTTTCGATCCGCAATAAAGTAAACAACCACAGGGAGTTTCTCCGCATCGTAGTGCAGCAGCTGGTAGAGGAGGTACGAGCCGGCAGCCACCGACTTCCCGATCCCGGGCGTCCCAATCAACACACGCCGCTCAGGCCTAAAGTCGGTCTCACCGTCAGTGCCAAAAAATTCAGTTAGATCGCCCTTGACGATCTGCCACACTCGCTCCACCTCACAGTTCACGTAGCAGTCACGAGTGGATTCCACCCCCTTCCGATTCCACGAGTACGGCCACCCCTTGTCCGAGGTGAGCACCATCAGCCTGAGACGTGCTTCACCGGATTGCTCCACACCATCATCCTTTTCGAGGGTTCGGCCAACTGCCTTGTACTTCCATGGCTGTGGTGGTTCCCTTTCCCTCACTTCCAGTCCCATCCCCTCGCCGCCAGGAACTTCCACCACATGGCTCCACCTCGCATTGTACACAGACTCGTACACTCCCTCCAGTTTTATCGCTGCACTCATCCTCATTGAGTTCCTCGCTTCCTCAAGGGCTGCATCCAAAAAACTTTCAGTAATGCCATGAACAATTTCTTTTACCTCCGGAGCAGCTACTAGCCACCCCAGCAGAGTACTTACATGATTATAGTGGAGCTTCTCTATATCTTCTTCCATATCCATTTCATCCTTTACAGTCCACTCCATCCTCGCATAAGCACCTGCTGCCTGTATTTCGCCCAGTACTCCCTTATCACGGATATACCTCGTGGGTTCCTTAAAAAACTCCTCCAGCAAAACACTCCGATTGGTAGCCACAACGCCCTTTCCGCCAAATCTCAGCAGAAGAAAATCGTTAAGCTTCATTTCCTTGTAGCAAAATTCCCCTCTGAACAGTACATCTTCGATCGTAGTGGAAATGGTAAATTTCATTTCTTGCGCTCGTCTTCGCCTTTCTTCTGCCTCACGTCTTAGCCTTTCTTCTCTCATTACCTGAGTGAGAACTCCGTTTAGTTTTGCCTTTGGAAAAGGAGTGATTGTATCCTTTCCTTCATAGTCCCTCCATTGCTCGAGAGAGAACACATGCTCGGGATGAAGCTTATTAATAGCCTCCAGCACTTGGTATGGCGGCAATGCCGTTATTGTGCGTAATAACCTTTTGTTTTGGATAAACATCTCGGGATCCTGAAAAAACTCCTGCATCGTGACGTTCTCATTGGTGTCCACAACCCTGCCGCCAACAGAATTCCGAAGGAATTCATTCAGCCTCATGTCGGTCCTGTTAGTGCTTCCCTCCAGAAGGATGTCCTCTACGGTGCTGCCCATGGTCCACTGCGGTCGCTGCCTTTCCTCCACTCTTATGTGTGTCGCGGCGGGTTGATCTGTGTCACTATTGGACTCCAGCCTCGCTCTCCTCCGATCTCGTTGCGGGACATTGGACGATTGGTTTTCCTCATTATTGTGAAGTCCTTCCTCGGGCCTTCCAGACATTGCTTCTCCTTGTTTTCTTAGTTGGGTTAAGTTAAAGCTGAACACTAACGACCAATCAAAAGGGGAATAAGGAAAAAAGAAAATACGCACGGAAATGACTGGAAGACGCAGAAAAAGACTTATCCACACGGTGTGGACTACATATTGAGCTCAGTGGCGCAACAGAAAAAAAAAAGTACATTTCAGCATAAAATAAAGCCAACGAAACCAACACACGAGAAACAAAACAATGCAGTAGCCACCAAACACCTCAGTAGATTGTCCACACCATTTTTGTAAAGCTTGCGTACATCCTCTTCCATATCCATTTCATCCCTCACAGCCCTCTCCATCCTCTTGTAACGATCCGATGCCTGCATTTTTTTTTTTTTTTTCTTCTCTTACCAGTCGTAGTAACTACACCTCAATTGTGCAGCTCTGGTAAGCGTACGAAGGAATTCAGTAGCAAGGATAACCTTACTCCGCGGGCAGCCATTATAGAATGGCTCCA